ATTATAAGCAGCAGAATGAGCTATCAATAATTCTCAGCTTACGCAGTAAGTGAGAATTATTGATAGCCCACCTTACGTCCAAAGATAAACGCCTTGCTATTGCTCTGGATCAATGCCCGTGAGGAACAGCTGGGCATTACATTGTTTTTGGGCATTACATTGTACTGATTACATTGTATTGATTACATTGTAGGGCAGTAGATCATCTAGCTTTTATTTATTCGAGTTTTCATTTACGTAATTATGATGAGTGTTGTTAATTGAGTATTGAAAATATTTCCATCACAATATCAGACAGAGTTGCAGTTAACCATCTAACCATAAGCAAAGTTAGTGCAACTTGGGGTAAAACTCTGAATTAATTGAATTTTTATTTGCACCCTCTTGATACAATTACTACTGAATGTCGCTCAGCATTGATGTGTCTAGAGACAGAAAAGTTGAATTATTTGGCAATGATTATGTAGCTGTCAAAATTGATTAGGCTATGAATAAGATGAGGTTTAAAGACGGTGAAAGCGATCCAGAGGGATTTGTAACTTTTTAAGACCACAAAAAACTACCTAGGTGTATCATCCCTAGATACTGAAGAAATTGTCTTCATATTTTCTTTTTAGTACTTGTCATATATTTATTAAACACTATGCTAATTTGCTAAATTTTCTGATCACTAGAACAGTCAAATGTGGCAGTTTGCAAGCAGCTCTGCGAGAAGCATTTTGTAATGCTACCACTTTTAAAAAAATGTGTGTACTTGGTGTATTTGGGAAACTGCTAAGTGGTCCGTGGATGACAAAGTTTTATGAATTAGCTGAGGATACAAATTTTGATCATCTCACCGGTATTCAGATTGTAAAAAACATTTTGGAAACAGTTAATATTTGCAAATCTAATCCGGCTGCACTGTTATGCAGAGCAACAGATTTTTTTGGGGAAATGCTTCCCTTAAACGTTTTTGAACCAATAACATATTAATGCTGCATTGATGACCAGGTTATTAACATGACTTTAGCTTGTCTTAATGCAGTAAAGGATGTATTGATTAGACAATGTAAAAGGTACTTCTCCTTTTTCATTACAGAGACACTTACGCAGGAAACAGCTAATGCAAGGTTTCACAATATAGATAATGAAGAGTTAATTGGTATGTTTAGTGAATCTAAAGGAAGATTCCCTAATACAAATTTTGATCATCTCACCGGTATTCAGATTGTAAAAAACATTTTGGAAACAGTTAATATTTGCAAATCTAATCCGGCTGCACTGTTATGCAGAGCAACAGATTTTTTTGGGGAAATGCTTCCCTTAAACGTTTTTGAACCAATAACATATTAATGCTGCATTGATGACCAGGTTATTAACATGACTTTAGCTTGTCTTAATGCAGTAAAGGATGTATTGATTAGACAATGTAAAAGGTACTTCTCCTTTTTCATTACAGAGACACTTACGCAGGAAACAGCTAATGCAAGGTTTCACAATATAGATAATGAAGAGTTAATTGGTATGTTTAGTGAATCTAAAGGAAGATTCCCTAATACAAATTTTGATCATCTCACCGGTATTCAGATTGTAAAAAACATTTTGGAAACAGTTAATATTTGCAAATCTAATCCGGCTGCACTGTTATGCAGAGCAACAGATTTTTTTGGGGAAATGCTTCCCTTAAACGTTTTTGAACCAATAACATATTAATGCTGCATTGATGACCAGGTTATTAACATGACTTTAGCTTGTCTTAATGCAGTAAAGGATGTATTGATTAGACAATGTAAAAGGTACTTCTCCTTTTTCATTACAGAGACACTTACGCAGGAAACAGCTAATGCAAGGTTTCACAATATAGATAATGAAGAGTTAATTGGTATGTTTAGTGAATCTAAAGGAAGATTCCCTAATACAACAATTTTATATAATTCTTGAATGTAAACGAATAAGTGAATGTAAAGGAAGATCCCCTAATGCAACAATGTGTTATATTTCCTGCAAAATAAGATGAAAAAAGAATAGGACTATTTATTATCTTGATAGTTTAGATTACTAACTAAATAAGAAAATGTAATTAATGGTCCATTTTCTACAACATGCTCAAATTCGATCTGTATTATATAAGAGACCGACATGCAAGCATCAAATGTTGGATGAACAAGATAAAAAGAAATTATAACAAAAACTTAAGTTAATGACTTTCAGCCAGATTAAGAATTTGTATAAACAATTGTCTACAAAGCAACTGGGTGATTTAAATGATGTTATGTCTGACAGAATTGTTAGTAGAAAACTATATCATGAATGGTATGATATTGAACAATCTAAGTATACGATGGCAGAGTAGAAAAAGTAAAAAAACAGATTGCATGACAAAATTTACACTATCTCTTACTGAAAAAATTCCAGCTGGTCCCAGATGTTGTATCAGGAGAATTTTTTTTTTTTAATGTTAATGTGTATTATTTGTTTTTAATGCTAATATGTATTGTTTTCATATTTGAAAGGTAAGTCCAAAATAGATACTGCAAATGTTAGAACTTGAAAAGTCTTAACATTTGAAAAGTATCGCAAGTGTTGTGACATAAAATTGGTACAGAAGTGTTGTGAATTGCACAAATTATTGATAGACGGCTCTGGCTTACCTTCTTGTGATGTCTATCGTTAAAAAATGATTAATATTTTGTTTCATTAGTGAAATTTCAAATTGTTTACTAAAAGCCAAAATACTAATTAATTACAATGGGTATTTTGTTTACACTAAATTACATAATTTTAAGTATTGTATTTTTAAAACATTTTACATGTTTTTTTAGGTTAGATGTTAAAGAATCAAACAGCCTTTTGCCTAAGAACTAAAATATTCTTACACATCTTGTATTAAAAATTTAAGTGTTAAAATTTTTGTTTATTTTTAACAATATTTTTCAATTTAAAGTTAAATAAAAATTTTTAGATTGGAGGGGTACTTTCTCTTTCCTATGTGAAACTGGATAAACACTTGCTTTTTGTAAAGTAGTAAAATGTCTGTTTATACTAATTTTTGACGTTTGAAATGTAAACAAATTTTTCTTTTTTTAAATGACAAAAATTGACAAAAAAAAAATTGGGGGGGGGGGGGAGGCGGTTAGGCGAAAGCGGGCGCACGCCCTTACCTCTCAAGTAAAAGTATACCATACTAACAAGTTGTAATGTAGTAAAGTATTTTTTTTTTAATTTGGAAGGAGATTGGGGGAGAAGCGGTGATGCGAGAGCGTACGCCCCTCACCTTGATTCGAGTTTTACACCATTAAACACTAGTTGTAAAGTACAACTAGTGGTTAGTGAAACTTAAATTTTATTTTTTGTTCTAGATTACTTATTTAATTGGAGATAATATTATTTTTTAAAAAAGAATTATTTTTGTTAATAGTAAGTGTTAAACAAGCACCACCACATCCACCCCTAACTCAAAGGTACACATCTCATATATGGTGGTGAGCTGGGATCAAAATATTGGAACTTCTGTTTGATAAAAAAGAAAATTTTCAGTATTAAAAAACTTTTTTATGATAGAATACTCAATTTTTTGGTGGTAAAAGTCGTAGTTCGGGGCACCCTAAAGACGTCCACTCACGCCCTATGGCTACATGCTACTATAAAACTGTAACCCACTCTTACATCTTTCTTTTGATACCAAATAATAGAAATTTCAAAAAGAATTTGCATAGTTATAACAATTCTCGATAAAAAAAAAAAATTGTTTTGACCACAGTTTCTTTACAATTTCATATATTCAAAAATTGTCGCTAAAAACCTCATAACCTTTTTTTGAATTGTTCGATTTTGATAATTTTTTCACCGTTGAAATACTGTATTGACGCTCTGTTCACCGATATATAACAATATAATATTTTGTAAACTTAAAAATTTCATGTCACATACCTATATATACTACATATATATATATATATATATATATATATATATATATATATATATATATATATATATATATATATATATATATATATATATATATATATATATATATATATATATTATATATATATATATATATATATATATACACTATATATATATATATATATATATATATATATATATATATATATATATATATATATATATATATATATATATATATATATATGTATATATATATATATATATATATATATATATATATATATATTTATATATATATATATATATATATATATATATATATATATATATATATATATATATATATATATATATATAGTGTTTTTTAATAACACAAAAGATTGTTTTATTGGATGTGCACTTATCGTTTTTATCGAGGAACCAAGATTCATTTATGTCTTTTACAAAAATGGCATACGAAAAGAAACGCAGTAGACGTCCAAAAAGAATTTTCATCAGTACATATAGAAAAAAAATCGAATGTTGGAGCATCTAAAAGAATTTATGTAATTTAAGTAATTATGCCCTAAACAAGTGGATTGACAAAGAATAGCAACAAATTTATTGTCCCAAAAAAAAACTATAATCATGCACTGAAAAACAACCTTTCGTCAACAAAAGAATGGCACAAATTTCCATTGACAAAGTGTAACATAAAAGATAGTCAGTATCTAACTTGTTTTGTGTATTTTTTAAATGTAAATTTATTACTTTTTTGTAGCAAAATATTTTATAATTAGATTCATTTTCATGTTGTGAAGAATACCACTTTCTACATCAGATGAAATAAATGTTAAGAAAAGCATTAAAAATAAGAATAACAAATCATACTGATTTTCATTGCCAGAACCTTCGCCACCTATTATGAATAAGCCCGATGCTAATAGTATAACACAAATATCATAATTTTCTTTTAATGGTTTATAAACTGAAATAGATTCTTGTTTAATTTGATCTGAATAATATCTATCTAGCTATTAGTCTTTTTTATGTATTACTAAGATTTTCCTTTTATTTTAACTATGTGTCCTATTATGCGTAATGTTGTTAAATTGGTTACATATATTTATATCATTGACAACATTCTATTGTATTAAATAATCCTTTAATCAACTTGATATGAAAATTGAAAATTGATTGAAAGCATGCTGAAGTTGTTTGAGTTCAGAAATTGAAAGAGTACAAAATTGGTTGAAAGATTAAATTAAGTAACAGGTATGGTTGAGGGATTATTTATTGTTCTAATTATAATTATTTCTTTTGAATAGAGTTGTTATCAGATTCAAAGATTGAAGAAGAAAATTTTTCTTTACATTTTATTGATGAACACAATAAAACCAAGCAAAGTTCACATTGTCAAAGAGTTTCAAGTTTTAATATGAGTATTTTTGGTTTTTACACCACTGAATGTTAATGTGGAGGTCTTTTTTATTAATTTGTTTTTGTATTAAAATAATTGTAAAAGATAGGTATAAAAGAATAGAAATGGATTATTTATAATATTGTGATCCGATAAATCATGTGTGTAGCATTTTACCTTTAGTAAATAAGCAAAATTCTTTAATATCGTAGCCTTTTACAGAATAAAGTTTTAGCTGATTTAAAAAGTAGGTTTTCCGAAATATTATGGCAACTTCTGTGATGGAGTAATAAAAAAACTTACATGTATTTTTGGAATTTTAGTTTAAGTTACTCAAGCATAATTTGAATTTTAAAGTTCTTATTTCATTAATTTGCTATTTGGTTTTATGAGCTAAATATATTAATCAATTTTTTTATTCTTGTTTGTAGAGATGCAAAATGTTATTCTCAAGGAGCTTGTAGAAATAAAAGTTCTTTTAAAAGAAGTTATAGAAATTAAGTTTCAGGCTACAGGGGTGAAGTTGCTAGAATCGGTGGACGAACTGGTTACACTGGATAATAAACTAAAAGATAAAACCGAGTATACTAATTTGGTATAATCTAATTATCTTAATTTTTAATAAGTTTGTTTGAATTTAGTTTATTAGTTTAGAATCTAAATGAAAAGTATTTGTAAAAGAACTAAAATAACTAGCTTGTGTTAGACTCAATATGTCGTAAAGAAATTGAAGTTACACTAGTTTTTATTACATTTATTTCAGCTTGATAGTTTGAAAAAGATTGGTGGTGGAAAGCCAAGAGAACATGCTTTTTTGATCATGAAAAGGTAAATGATTATGTTTTTATTAATTATTAGAAATATGATTAAAAGGGATCAAAAGCAATTCATTTTGACCGTTATTTGTTATGGATTTACTTTTAACATGACAATTTTATAAACTCGGGAGCTTCACTGTAGGCGTTTAAGTTTGTTTGTGTGCTAAATTAAGTGTAATGCTAAACCTTGTTTAGCATTTTATTTTCAAATTTAATGATTTTACTTTTCATAATTTTAAAGCATTCATATATTAAAATATATTTTAATTTACTACATATATTAAAATAAAAATCTTTATATATTTCAGTTTATTGTTAAAATATTTATCAGTTTATTTCCGAATCAGTTACAGTCCAAATTAAATCGAAAAAGAAATGGGGAAAAGATAAGCTTAGAAAATCTAGTAAATATATGGAGTGTTTTACGAGGTATAGTTTTAATAGTATTTATATATATATATGTATATATATATACATATATATATATACATATATGTATATATATATACATATATATATATGTATATATATATATATATGTATATATATATACATATATATATATATATATATATATATATATATATATATATATATATATATATATATATATATATATATATATATATATATATATATATATATATATATATATATATATATATATATATATATATATATATATATATATATATATATATATATATATATATATATATATATATATATATATATATATATACAGTATTGGACAAAACATTTGCAACCAACATTGAACAATGCTAAAAAGTGTTCCTAATTTTATGTCTTAAAAATGAAACAAACTATACTACCACAGCAAACAGTTCAGGAGTCTGGAGTCATAGCATGCCATGATTTGAGCAATCAGCTGACAGGTGACAGCACACAGGCAGAATTTCGTTGACAAGTGCCATTTTGCAGCATACATATATATACTGTGAAGCATGGTGGAGGCAAGGTAATGGTCTGGGGGTGTTTTTCTGCTAATGGTCAAAGTCCAATACTACGAATCAATGGAATAATGGACCGTTTCATGTATAAAAATATCCTGAAAGATGTTATGTTACCTCATGCTGAATGGAATATACCAATAAAATGGGTTTTTCAGCAAGACAACGATCCCAAACACACTGCAAATGTAGTCAAGCAGTGGTTTTAAGACAACCATCTATTGGTGATGGATTGGCCGCCTCAATCTCCGGATCTCAACCCTATCGAGAACCTGTGGGAGATTGTCAACCGCAGAGTTAATCATGAATGTGTTCGTAATAACGATCAACTGTTTGAACAAATCCAAAAAGCCTAGGCAGCAATTTGATAAAGTTTCATTGATCACCTGATCGAATCTATGCCTTAAAGATGCAAGGCTGTGATCGACAACAAAGGATTCACCACAAAATATTGATAGCAAAATACAGCATGGTCAACATTTTGTGGAGTTGCACTTGTTTTGTCCAGAAGGAAATCAACTTTTTTTTAATACTTTTGATTAATTTATTAATTTTTGTGTACAAATAATGAACTTTGTGATGAATAAAATTTAAAGAACGTTGTCTCTAAACAGTTACATAGTTATTTCTCTAAATTGAAAAAATGCAGCACTTTATGCAAAGAAACTAAATTAGCATCATTTGGTTGCACTGGTTTTATCGGATACCGTATGTGTGTGTATATACATATATATATATATACATACATATATATATATATATATATATATATATATATATATATATATATATATATATATATATATATATATATATATATATATATATACTAATATAGATAAGAGATTTTCAAAGATTTTCAAATATATATACATACATGCAGAAATATAGTTTCTTATATATATTTTTGTGAAATAAAAATTAAGTAATCTTAGTTATAATGTTTCTTTACTTATTTAATTTAATCCTTTTTTATGACTAATTTAACCGCTGTAACACCTTTGTATCAAACAAGTCCAAGCAAACAAAAAGATATCTAAAATGCATCTAATATGCATCTAAGAACTGGTCTAAAAGACGTCTAAATTCACGTCGTGAATACATCTAATATGCATCTGTAAGATGTATATTTCACATCTTTTATGCATCTAAGGCAATTAATTGTGTCGAATAAAACGCATCTAAAAGACGTCTATAAGAAAGACGTCTATTTATGTCCCGTTCTAGACCTGAATTTAGACATCTTTTAGACCAGTTTTTAGATGCATATAAGATATTTTTTGTTTGCTGGGTTAGATGCATTTTAGATATCTTTTTGTTTGCTGGGCTGTTTTTGTGACTGTAACGCTTTTTTTACGCTGCGACTGGTTTTTTAACGTTGCTTCAACGCTTTCAACGCTTACATGTTTGCTGAGGTAGTACATATAAAAATATACTTAAACCTCTTGACTGTCAGTAGAAGCATGTAGCACGTTTTATATATTTTAAAGACCGTTATACTCATCCCGAGCCTTTATTATTTGAAATGGAAGTTTTTAATATATATAAGATTCATATTTTTAATATTCTTTGTTTTATGTTTAAATGTAAAACCAATTCATTAAAGATCTCTTTCCATAATTTTTATTCATCAAAAGATAAAAATTAATACATTTTACTCTATGATAATTTTATTAGGCAGCCCATTTTTCAAACAAATCTTTATAAACTTGGTATTGATTATCGCGGACCATTTTTATGGAACAAATTAGTTATATATAAAATATATATATATATATACATATATAAATATATATATATATATATATATATATATATATATATAATATATATATGTATATATATATATATATATATATATATATATATATATATATATATATATATATATATATATGTATACATATATATATATATATATATATATATATATATATATATATATATATATATATATATATATATATATATATATATATATATATATATATATATATATGTATATCTATATATATATATATGTATATGTATATATATATATATATATATATATATATATATACATATATATATATATATATATATATATATATATATATATATATATATATATATATATATATATATATAAATATATATATATATAAACAAGAAGATTTGTATCTCAACCAGATACAATAATAAACAACAATTTTTTTATGAAAAAACTAAAGAAACTTGTATTATGGATAAAAAAAATCTAGCATGACACAAAAAAGTCGAAGAATATCTTTTTAATACAGATATCAGTTTTGTAAATACTATTAAAACTATACCTCGTAAAACACTCCATATATTTACTAGATTTTCTAAGCTTATCTTTTCCCCATTTCTTTTTCGATTTAATTTGGACTGTAACTGATTCGGAAATAAACTGATAAATATTTTAACAATAAACTGAAATATATAAAGATTTTTATTTTAATATATGTAGTAAATTAAAATATATTTTAATATATGAATGCTTTAAAATTATGAAAAGTAAAATCATTAAATTTGAAAATAAAATGCTAAACAAGGTTTAGCATTACACTTAATTTAGCACACAAACAAACTTAAACGCCTACAGTGAAGCTCCCGAGTTTATAAAATTGTCATGTTAAAAGTAAATCCATAACAAATAACGGTCAAAATGAATTGCTTTTGATCCCTTTTAATCATATTTCTAATAATTAATAAAAACATAATCATTTACCTTTTCATGATCAAAAAAGCATGTTCTCTTGGCTTTCCACCACCAATCTTTTTCAAACTATCAAGCTGAAATAAATGTAATAAAAACTAGTGTAACTTCAATTTCTTTACGACATATTGAGTCTAACACAAGCTAGTTATTTTAGTTCTTTTACAAATACTTTTCATTTAGATTCTAAACTAATAAACTAAATTTAAACAAACTTATTAAAAATTAAGATAATTAGATTATACCAAATTAGTATACTCGGTTTTATCTTTTAGTTTATTATCCAGTGTAACCAGTTCGTCCACCGATTCTAGCAACTTCACCCCTGTAGCCTGAAACTTAATTTCTATAACTTCTTTTAAAAGAACTTTTATTTCTACAAGCTCCTTGAGAATAACATTTTGCATCTCTACAAACAAGAATAAAAAAATTGATTAATATATTTAGCTCATAAAACCAAATAGCAAATTAATGAAATAAGAACTTTAAAATTCAAATTATGCTTGAGTAACTTAAACTAAAATTCCAAAAATACATGTAAGTTTTTTTATTACTCCATCACAGAAGTTGCCATAATATTTCGGAAAACCTACTTTTTAAATCAGCTAAAACTTTATTCTGTAAAAGGCTACGATATTAAAGAATTTTGCTTATTTACTAAAGGTAAAATGCTACACACATGATTTATCGGATCACAATATTATAAATAATCCATTTCTATTCTTTTATACCTATCTTTTACAATTATTTTAATACAAAAACAAATTAATAAAAAAGACCTCCACATTAACATTCAGTGGTGTAAAAACCAAAAATACTCATATTAAAACTTGAAACTCTTTGACAATGTGAACTTTGCTTGGTTTTATTGTGTTCATCAATAAAATGTAAAGAAAAATTTTCTTCTTCAATCTTTGAATCTGATAACAACTCTATTCAAAAGAAATAATTATAATTAGAACAATAAATAATCCCTCAACCATACCTGTTACTTAATTTAATCTTTCAACCAATTTTGTACTCTTTCAATTTCTGAACTCAAACAACTTCAGCATGCTTTCAATCAATTTTCAATTTTCATATCAAGTTGATTAAAGGATTATTTAATACAATAGAATGTTGTCAATGATATAAATATATGTAACCAATTTAACAACATTACGCATAATAGGACACATAGTTAAAATAAAAGGAAAATCTTAGTAATACATAAAAAAGACTAATAGCTAGATAGATATTATTCAGATCAAATTAAACAAGAATCTATTTCAGTTTATAAACCATTAAAAGAAAATTATGATATTTGTGTTATACTATTAGCATCGGGCTTATTCATAATAGGTGGCGAAGGTTCTGGCAATGAAAATCAGTATGATTTGTTATTCTTATTTTTAATGCTTTTCTTAACATTTATTTCATCTGATGTAGAAAGTGGTATTCTTCACAACATGAAAATGAATCTAATTA